TACCTTCTGCTGCGAGCATCTTCCGCCTATGATGAAATCAAACACAGACAGATGTCAGTTCACATTGCGACACGGCATTGTAAACTCAGTCAAACACAATTTAATGTCATTATTACAGGAACTTTATTCACTATACGTTGGCTCCAAAGGGCATAACGTCCAGTTGCAAAGCATCAAGAAATTCGGAGCTGGATCAGCTCCAAGAAAACCCCATTTAACTCCTCCTTCAATGTGCGGTAGAGGAGCTGGTGTGGTACGTAGTGCCTCCTCAGAGCTGAACTCGCCCCAAGGTTACTTGCCTCCCAAAGGATTGTTGGAATCGAATTGGATGAACTTAATCACGGTGATGGGTTTCCACATGTATTGTACAATCGGCTGACCAAATCAATCATTGGACCCATAGTGGGACCTGCTTACAAGCACACAGCTAAATATACGAAATAATCCATCGCTGAACTTTGTAACAGTCAGATTATGATTGTCTGCTAAAGACTGTGTACATGTTACTGAACAATATTATAATTTAATCTGTTTACCTGCAGGAACGTGAGAGCGTTTTTTTCCAACTGGGTGTGTAACTCTGCGATTTCTAGCTGAACAGAATCTAACTTGTTCTGAATCTCTCGCAGATTTGTGTTCATCCGGTTCAAAATCTCCTCCTCTCGCTGTCTGAGATCTCGCATCACTCGCTGTTCTCTGTCGGTCAGGCTCTGGTGCATTTTATTGAATTCAGCCGTGACGTGGGTCTGCAGACTGTTCACTTGTTCCTGAAAAATGTCAGACATCACACCTTGTTCACAAAATAAAGTGAGACATTAAGACCCCATAATGTGAACACACGGTAAAGAGAGACACACTGAGATACCACACCGTGCATACAGAGTAAACAGAGACACCGTGATATCACACCTGTACACACAATAAAGAGAGACAGACAGAAGCATCAGTGTACACACAAGAAACAGAGACGCAATGAGAGAACAGATATCAGCCCTGACACAACTTACCTTAACTTGTGAAATCTTCTCTCTCTGTTCGGCTTCAGCTTGTAGAGCAGTTTCCTTCCTCTGCGTGAGAGATGCTAAGGAGTCATGCACTTGTTCCTGGCATAAACAAGTACAATATGAACACTCGAACATGAATAAATAAGTGAACAAGAAAGAATCCGCCGTGAGGGTATTGTTACCTTGTAGATTTCAGCAGCTTCGTCAATGGGCAGGAAGCTGTGACCTCTGTGCTCTCGCGCATCTCTGCAAATTAAACACAGCAATTCCTTGTCAGTTTCACAGAACAGCTTCAGTTCCACACGGTGTTTCTCACAGTCACATTTAATGTCCGTCTGTATCGAGACCAGGTTGAATTCACGAGCTTTCTCCACCATTTTAACAAGGGCCCAATTAACCTTCAGGTTCCTGTTGGTAATAATCTGCCGGCATTCCGGACATGAATATGTCTCGTGCTTTGCCCAGCTCCGGGTGATACAGAAGCAACAGTAATTGTGGCCACATTCCAGGCTAACAGGATCAGAAAAAAATTCTAGACAAATTGGACAGTTTAGCTCCTCGGTCAGGCAATGAAACTGATGTCGATAAGTCATGTTCACCCTCAGGTGATTCTGGTCCAAACTGATTCGTCTCAGTGTATCTGCGCCATGTGTATCCCACCTTGTGACAGAATTTACTTCACTCTGATCCACCCACCTACAAGTTGGGAGCCAGGGTTTTGAATAATGCACGGGATTGGACGGAAAAAAGATTGATGTGGAAATAGAGCAAAGTTCATTGTAAAAACTGCCCCAATATGGGCAACGGGATAGGAGAAGATAAATAATCCAGGAAGTACGGAACCAGGAATAGACAGAGTTCAATTATCCAATCCCTTCCCTAAAATAGGAAAATCCCTAATTAATCGGTAACTTCTGATTTATCTGAACTTTCAGAAGATCTCCCTTTTCCCACATTTGCAACACCTGAGCCATCCCCACTCCCTTCACGCACAATGGCCCTTCGCCTCATTGGCTCCCATGCCGTTCCCCATACAACGTCCAATTAACACCCAGTCTCCCCAAACAATGTCTCCTCGCCACACAATCTCTCCTCTCCACATCATCGAACCTCCCAACACAATCGCCCCTTCTCACAATAAACCCCTTTCCCTAAAATATCCCCCACCCCAACAGTCACCACTGTCGCCCCCAATACACACGGATCCACACTGATATTTCAGTAAAATGATGATTTATGTTTTACAATCGCAGTTATAATCTTCAAATATCTCCGTTCATGCCATCCCCACCCATCCGAACACCACTCTCTCTTACTCTACGTCTGCAACGCCACCCACTACCTCTCTCGTCTGTATATATCCCACGTCCCCGTTATCTCGCCATCTTTATTGGAAAACTGTTAGCCAATTTGCTCCGGCGCTCCCGTATCCTTATCTTTAAACCCTTCGCTGTTATTCCTCCCTCCCGACGGTCACAAGCAGTTTGTCTTTGAATGTGCCTTTGCCAACAAGAGTGGGAGGAAAGCGCAATCGTGGAGGCCTACAACTCAGTGGTTAGAGCACTCGCTTTGCAAGCGAGAGACGTGAGGTCATTTCCAGGCAGGACCAAACCTTGGGAAAGTTTCCTTGCTCCACACAGAGCCTAATAATAATCCCTCCAAAAGCAAAAACAATAATAACAATTGGTCATTTTTAATCTGCGACTATTTGTGGGACATTGCTGTGCGCAATTGGCTGCCGCGTTCGCCCACAAATATACAGTCAACGCACTTTACAGTGAGTTCTGTGAAGCGCTTTGGGACATCCTCGCGACATGAAAAGCGCTATATCAAATGCAAGGATTATTTTATTATTATTGTCCTTGGTGCTGAACGTATCCCAGGTGACATGTTTGGCTTAAACCAAGCAGATCCAGAGCCCCTTCTTCTATTGCTGTCAAACATAAACCAGGACTGGGAAACACTGACAGAAGAGGTGATATAACTGAACACACCTTGTTTCGAGTAAGTCATTAGACATCACGGAAAAGTTTTGCAAGTTCCAAAAGCACCAGTTCTTATGAAACAATTATTAATTTGTATTGCTCTCCCTACCTTGTTATCGAAGAAACCTTTGACCGACACTCAAGAGTATTGCCAAATGGTAAAACATGCGATGCAAAAACACTACCTGATTCAGATTGTCCACTCTGGTGATCAGAGCCAATGGCCCAGAAGCAGCATCCACCCCTTTTGATCAATTTAGCCATTGTCACCTCCCACCTCCATTTTCCTGTCCCCTTCACGCCGGTTTCCTGAGCTCCATCATCCATCAGCTAAAATTTATACCGATCTTCCAGGCTGTGTTCTCGCACATTCCTGGCTCCGAAACCCCATTATCCCAATCATTGCCTTGTTCCACTGGTCCGCTATTGCTGAAAGGATTCATTTTGCGATCCTCACACTCATTCGTTTGATGCTCTTTCAACTTGCTACCTCTCTGTCCCACTTGCGTGTTACTGAAGCTTTCTGTAAACCGTCTGCCAATCCATTCCACCAATGGCGACGTGTTTCACGGCATTTTGCCATGAAATTCTTGAACTTCTCCTTCCTCAATCCCGCTGGCTGGCTCTTCGTTCTTGTCCATGTGATGGCCATATATATTGACCCTATGTTGACGTATGTTGAACTGTCTTCTCTCTGCGTCTCCGCCACTGTAGAGCTGTCAATCTGCATGAAATTCTCTATATCTATATCAGCCGTTGATAATATATTGATTTGAAATTTGTTTTCAGAATTTTTTCAATTGAATTGATTGAAATCACACTTCGTCCTGGGGTGTGTATGAGTGTGTCATGGGAAGACACTTGATAAAGGAAAGGCTTGTTCTTAGGTGGGAACTTCTTGTTCCAAATGTCCCCCGCTTTTTGGGGTAATAATGCGGTCACACAGCTAGATTGGGGCAGGTATATACATATGCAAATGCATGTGCTGCTACATGCCAGCAGACTTTCCTACGCTCACCCTCTTGCACACATCCAAAAAAGAGTGGAATGGCTTGAAAGCCTGTAGTATCCTACAAGAGTTAACATTTTTTATCGCACCTCATGACATCTTTGAATTTGAGGGTGATTGTTGGGCGTGAATTAGCATTAAATGGACAATTGACTGGTAACCAACGAGAGGAAATTTAAACTGACACTGGGAGCGGGACAAATTCTTTGTGATGTACAGAGAGACTTTACTGAGAGTTGGGAAAGACAAATGAAGTAGCTACAAATTCATGATTCACTTGGAGTGAATTCTATTTTACGGTAACCAACAGCTGGTTAGGGAGGCTGGTCAAGGCACTGCCGATTCCCAGCTTCCCGCGTCGAGCTCAAATTCTTTACTAACTGAACCCAAGGTCCCAGACGCCCTCTAAATCTCCCGCCTCCAATCGCCATCCCGCCACCCCCACACCCCCTCTCGCCCCTACACCGCCCCCTCCCCAGTTCGGTTTACAAGGCGTGGCTATCCAGTCATTCGTAAAAGGCCCTATATTCATGTAACAACATGTAGTTTGGTAGTGTAAACGGCAATGTTGCAAACATTGTAAGCGGGGTCTTCTCGTAGCTGGACTGAACTCAAAGTGACACGCCTGGCAATGGGAAGGTCGGGATCGAGCCAGCCTTTGTAACGGTCGCCAGTCCGGTTCCTGCGCCAGGTGGGTCCACAATTTTCCAGGACACTGACTGCTGATGATACAGCACAGCCCAGGCTGTCTCATCGGCAGGACCTGGATGGGCCGACATGTCACTGAGAATTCTCCCTGCAAGCTAAAGCTCTACCAGGCAGGGTGGTGGTCGCGGCGCAAGCAGTGAAAAAGCTTGGAAAACAGGGATATTAATGACAATCTATGCGGGTTTAGATAGATAGACTCCAGCGGCTACCCCATTTCAACTTCAAGGAGACCTCGCTTACAAGCTTACCATCATTGCCATTTAAAATTCAATGTAACAAATACATTTTATGAATATGGCGCCTATTTACTTCGGAAGGACATCACAAACAATCCGGGCGTCACCCAGCCTGAGCCTAATAGTCTCCGATATTAGGTAAGCGTAACTCGTCCCTTCAGAGAGAAAGAGAGAGAGAGAGAGAGATACATATTACGATGCACAAGTTTGCAGAAACAGTCGGGAAGTCAAAGATTGATCTAATCTAGTGGACAGCTGGCGATGAATATATATAGATTTTAGCGTGTATACTGCGAGGCGATTTTTTAGGCGTCTCGAATACGCGATAAGGCGCTTTATCGAATGTCAAGTTTAATATCATTTTTTGTATTTATTTCACTCCTTTCCGGCACGAAACATTATTTCCTTGTTTGCTTGTGGTTGGAAAATAAGCACGTGTTCCCTCTGAGAGACACAAAAGTCATAATTTGTGAAATAGGTCAAGTCAGAACTAACATCTGTGCAGGGATGAATCCTTTCCTTTTCTCTTTGGAGGTTTTTGTACAGTGGTGCTATCGGAAATGAGTCGTCTCGAAGCAGTGATTGGGTTCCGTAACAAAGGCAAGAATTTTTGTTGCAATGTCTGAAAAGTATCACACCACTTGACAATATATACTGTCATAAAATGATAATAATCCTTGCATTTGATACAGTCTTATCGCGTCTTCCAGATGCCCGAAAGCGCTTCACCGCATACAGTGTAACATGATTTGGCTGTATGGTTGTTGGGCGAAAGTGGGGATTGTACCTTGTATGCATTCTTATTCCCTTTTCTTCTGTAGAATCAAATAAAGACTGTTCCTAATGGTTTTATATCATTGCGTTTGCAGACAACAGTAAGTCAATGGAAATTCAAAGTATCATGGAATCATGCTGCGCAGAAGAAGGCCATTCCCCAACGTGTCTCTTTGAAAAGTGCTATCCAATTCAATCCCATTCCCCCGCTTTCTCCACATTGCCCTGCAAACGTGTCCTCCCCAAATAATTATCGATATCTGCCTTAAAGTTTGTTGTCGAATCAGCTTCCACCAAACTCTCAGGTAATGCATTGCAGATCACAACAACTCGCTTTGTGAAAAAAACTTCGCTTCACCTCCTCGCTGTTTCATTTAGCATCTGTTTGAAATCGGAGTCCTCGGTTTACCGACCCATCCATCAGTGGATTTAGTTTCCAATTGTTCACTCTATTGGACCCCCACGGTATTTTCAAAACTTCTATTCAGTCTCCATTTAACCGTCTCTGCTCCAATAAGAATAACCCTATTTTCTCAAGCCTCTTCTGGTAACTGAAGTCCCTCATTCCTTTTATCATTCTAATAAATTTCCTTTGCATCCATCCTAATGTATGGGTCACAGAACTGAACACATTCTCCAGCTGAGGCCTAACCAGTATTGTATAAAGTTTCGCTACAACTTCCTGATTTTCGTATTCTATGCTACTATTTAAAAAGTGTAGTATCCCGTATGCATTTTTAACAGCTTTGTCGACCGGTCCTGTCATCTTCAAGTATCTACTTATATGTGGTCGACTGTTACAGCTAACTGACTGTTTATCTTATTCTCCGACGATTCACTTAAGATCTTCAGCCGTCAGACTGACTTCTGGTGAATGTGGTTTCCCCTGAACTTTGATGCACACAAAGTCTGACTCTGAGCACACACAGTAATAATCAGATGGATAGATCAATCTCAAACAGCCTGGGCAGTTATTGTACGAGGCTGTGTCTGATTCCCATCAATGTGCGGATAAAGAGAGAGACAGCACAGCGATACATATTTCGTCATTCACCAGCAGCTCAGGGAAGGATAATCTGGTGACAGATTGGGATGTGTCAAACTGAGAAGTGAATCGATTTCCAATTCAATTCCTTTTCTTTCCTCATCAAAATCTCAATATCTTCGCAATATGAACTCCAGCTGTTTGTCTGGGTGATGTCGGAACCAGAAGATATGGTAATAGCTCGCAGCAGTGGAGGAAGCAGATTCAGATATCACAGTTGCTCCTCCTTTCGTAAGCATCGTGGCATCTTTCTGACTGACAGAATACAGACCACTGAGTTCTGTAATTAACATGGTAGAACACGTCAATATATTATTCACTATTTCCCCGAATTATTTCAAACCAAATTGGAACACTGTACTCCCGATGTGAAACGCGCTATTCACATTTGTGAACAGTGAAATTATAATAAGAATAAATGCCTTTTCTACAAAATATTATCAAGTTTTTTAGTCGCCTCCAAGCGCTACTCAGAATATACTATGAAGTGAATTGATACTTATTTTCGTGGGTCAAACGCGGCAACCAATTGCAAACAACAACGTCGCACAAACTGTCGTCCATTGAGTGAACAAATTAATATTTGGATCGGATTATTACCACCGGGTTCAACCAGCGGTTGTACAGGAACCTAGTTCCTACTTACATCGTGGACAATATGCAAGTGTTTGTGAAGTGAGGTAACTTGCCCAACATTTTGTTCGGCCTGGGAATCGAAACCAGGCCCTTTCGCTTGTGAGATGATGGCTCTGTTCAATAATGTACAGGAAACCACGAAATGTTGTTGAAATGGAGCTGACAGTCAGCAGCAACTCTGAATTAGCTCAACACGGCCTCACCTGTCATAAGGGTTCCCAGCACAAGACAGACAGCAAATAGCCTCATTGTTGCTCTTCAGTCTGTGTGGTTGTGTCCGCGACATCAGTTTGCTGATAACCCGCAGTGATTGTCGGCATTGGCGGAGCCACAGTCTCACGTCACCTCATTGACATCTCAGCCACGTTTCAAAAACAACAACCAATTGCTGTTAAACAGCGCCTTTCACCAGTCACTGGGGGCAGTGAATCCTCCCACTCTGGTGCTGTTCACAATGCAAACATTGCACCAACTGGTAGGACGATGATAGCTTGACAAAGATTGGGAAAGCTTCCACGATACCACTATAAATGGCAAGCTATGTGCTTTTAGCTGCTTAGTCACAAGCAGATTCCCCATCGCACAATCTGATATCGTCCCTCACACAAGCCATGGCTGAAGCCAATCCTTGCCTTATAGTCTCCGGAATTGGATAAACAGGATGCCACCCTCCAGAGAAATAGTTTCCATACCTATCCAACAACTGATCTCTCAGATTTCAATGTGAAGGTGGGAGACATTGAAATGTCAGCTCGATTTGTAGTCTCTGAGAAACGACGAATGTTTACACATTTGCTGGGCTCGAAAGATATGATAGGGAACGTGATAGAACAGTGTTTATAGCATTACAGTTATATTACGGGGATGACTTGGAAATGTGTTTCACAAACATTATTCATATAAAGTACCAACGTCACCAAAAATGTTTGAGAATCTATGATTTATAGCAGCCATTGCTGTTGGTTATCGCGGAAAGAAAAGACTACTTAGAAATTTCTTTCAAATAGTGCCTTGCTATCTTTATCGCACAACTAATCAGACAGACCATATATCAGTCTAATAATAATATTAATAGCAATAATGCTTGCTACTGATAAAGTATCTCATCATATCTTTGAGACCACTCAGAGCTTCACAGAGTATACTGTAAAGTGAATTGGCTGCATAATCCGTGGGTTAAACGCGGCAGGCAATTGTCCACAGCACTTTCACACACAGTCGCGGATTAAGTTCCGAAATTGTTATTCTTGTTTTATTTGGAAAGAATTATAACGCCCGGATAAAGGATCCATCTCTTGCGAAATACGGATTTGTTTTTCCTTCCAAATTCTCTCGAATTCAAATATTACGGACTTTGCACTTTCATGTTGATTAAGGATTCAATTTATAAAGTCGCTAATTTAGTTTGCATGAACTTTTAACATCTTAGTTAATTGGAAAGTAATAGTAGATTGTTACCCTCTATTGGACAATAAACCACAGTTCAGCTGTGCCGTCATATTCGACGCCAAACTCGAAATAAAGCAATGATTGTAATAATACTGTGTTGTGGTTCCCAGTGTCTTATATCACCTTAGACTCAGTGTACAGTGACACACCCCGCTGTCAGTCATTGTGTCGCCACAGATACTGAAGCCCCGCCTGCCACACGCTAAATCCTCGCCTCACTATTATGGTGAACTGTTCTGAGCCGCTAAAGGGCAATTTGTCAGTTTAATAGTTACATTGCAATACTGAATGAAGCCAGTATTGCCACTGGCAAGTGGACGTTATTGTATTTGCCTACTGTTTCCCTTGCAGTAAGTAGGAATCCAGTTTTTAATCTACAAGCAAATTGCTTTCCATGGGATTACAGCTCCTCCAAAATAATAATAAAAATACAGTCACTAAATCATTAATGTGCGGAAATGGATGCAGCATTTCACGCACAAAATACACAGTGAATTCATACTGCACTATAATGTGTGAAGCGGTTGAGAAGTCTGGCAGACGTGATAAGGCGCTATATCAAATGTACGGATTATCATTGTTGAATTGACCTTGTACTTAGCTGCAACCAATATGGACTTGACTGACCAACACACTTTTATTGTTTTTAATTATTAAAGTGACTAATGCCCTCCGGAAATCGATATGCAAATCGTGAGACTACCGTGTTCCTACTTTCTACAAGTAAAACAGAGGCGTCTATGTTAAACTTGCGCAAGCTTTCGGCCTGCTCGGGAATCGTAATCGTTCATCTCACTTGTATAGCCAATGCAAGAACAAATACAACAACAACAGCAACATTACATATTTATATCGCCGTTCATGTCGGGAGGACGTCCCAAGCCGCTGGACGGTGCAAAACATTTCAGACCGGAGCTGCATACTTTAAAATCTCTAATGCTAAGGCAAAACCCGGCTGTTATTCGATTGGTGGATCACTTTTCCAGGGGAAAACATTCCTTGAAAAAATTATAAAAACAAATTGGTCACTTCAATCCACGACTGTTTGTGGGTTACTGCAATTGGCTGCAGGATTTTGCCCAAAAATGTATCGTGAATTCACTATATAGTATATAATAATCATAACAGTAATCCCTGCGTTTGACATGGCGCTTTTCACGTATTCTCAACATCTCAAAGCGCTTCAGAGTGTACACTGCAAAACTAATTGACTGTTCTCACTCGCGCGCTCTCTTTCCCTCTGATGTTTCTCTCTCTCACACTCTCTCTGTCTCTCTTTCTCACACTTTCAATTTAACACCTTCTATGTGTCTTTCTTGCACCGTGTCAAACTCAGTCGCTCGCACAAAACAAAATTCAATACATTTTACATTGTATCCCCTGCAGCTCATTGAGACTACTCCAATAAGTTGTTTTTAATACAAGGATTATTACGGATATTATCAAAAGGGTTTAAATCCTCCCAAAATTGCTCTCACCCCTTTAAAAAGGTGAAGACATCGCTTTAAATATGTAACACCGTCGGCCGACTAAAAACTAACTTCAGCCTCTCCTGCAGCTCTGCCCCCAACCCCAGCCTCGCCCTTATATGTCAGTTAGTAGCAGAGTCCCCAGCGACTGATTGACAGAGAGATAGAGAGAGAGAGAGAGAGAGAGAGAGAGAGAGAGAGAGCTGGGTTTGATTCTCGGGCTGGGCGAAACCAGAGGCAAGTTTCCTTATTCCACCTACACACCTCTGCTTGCGATATGATAAGGCGCTATATCAAACGCGAAGAATATTATTATATTCAACAAGATCAATGTAAACGTATTTTTTTTCCCTGAAATGCGAGCAGCGTTACTGAGAGCAAAGCCCGGACAGCGTATACTGTATTAACTTAACCATATCGGTGCTGATGTGTGACAAAAATATTCGTAAAAATGGCTATGATTGTATCTCGGTTTAGCGCTGGGCAGCAACGGTTGCAGGTTCCGCTAATCACAATCACCAATCAGACAGGATTCGCTGTGAGAGGCTTGTGCTCGGCAACTCATTGATTACAGTCCTTCATTCCTCAGGAAAGCTCTGAAACTGCCCATGTTGTCGTTTCTATAGTTGTGTAGACAAAAACGTAACAGGGTCCAAAAGTCGTCAATAGAGAAACAAATATTTTTCACTCTGACAATTTACGGTCAATTAAGTTCACTGTGTAACCTGTAAAGCCCCTTGAGATGTCTGGAAGCCGTGACAAGGTGCTAAATCAAATGCACGAATTATGAATGTTGTTACTATTCATAATTAATGTACTATTTTGACAGGTGGGAAATTGGCTGCGGCGATTCAGTAAGCATTTTGAACAGATTAACTTGATTTAGTAAATGGCAGAGCCAGCAAGACTCACGTTTTAAATGTTCGGACTGTTGTACAAAATTGTAAGAATATCCATAGGTTTGAATAACCTTGAAATATCTATTTGTTGGCAAATTAAATGAACGATTTGGAAATTCAAGCTAAACGTTAATTTGAGCTGTTTTTTCTAAAGGTCGCACCAATTTAAATCTTAAAACAAAGTTGACCGGAGTAAGACCAGTAAATCTTTAAGTATTAAATGGTTTAAAATTAACATTATAACCCCGGTTACCCTGTCTGACTCTCTTTGTTTCCAAACTTAAACTAGTTACGTGGTGACATTGAGCTGCTTCTCAGTCGATGCAGAGTCACTGATATCAGATTCCCGGTCAGACAGGTCTGCCTTCGTTTAACTATTTTACAGCTGAAATGCGATACACGAGCCGGAGAAAATTCCACTCCAGCTTAGGGAACTCAGAGTGACATCCACCCTTTCATAGATAACAGACAAACAGACAGACAGACAAACAGGAAGATAGACGAACAAACAGAGAGAGAGGGACAGGCATGCAGTTGATGCTTTGTTGTGTAGATTAGCAGCTTCTCTCCCAAACAGACAGTCACACTTGAATCAATGTTATTGGGATATTAAATTTAAAGTCAATTTAAAGTTTAACTGACAAATTACTCCACACGCCTAATAATAATCCTCCAAAACCAAAAAACAATAATCAATTGGTCATTTTCAATCTATGACTGTTTGTGGGATATTGCTGTGCACAATTGGCTGCCGCGTTCGCCCACAAATTTACAGTCAATTCACTTCACAGTGTGTTCCGTGAAGCGCTTTGGGACGTCCTCCCGACAAGAAAAGCTCTATATCAAATGCAAGGATTATTATTATTATTATTATTATCGGTGAAAACGTTTTGTCTCAGCACAATCTCCAGCTAGCATGCTTTCCAAGCACAGACACGAATACAGTCATTCACACATCAATAAAATATTAACTATTGCATTATATAGGACTTTGGAGTCCTGTAGCTCAGTGTTTAGAGCACTCGCTTTGCAAGCGAGAGACCTGAGTTCAATTCCAGGCAGAGGGCGAAACCTTGGGTAAGTTTCCTTACTCCACACAGAGCCTAATAATAATCCCTCCAAAATCAAAAACAATAATAAATTGCTCATTTTTAATCTACGACTGTTTGGGGGACATTGCTGTGCGCAATTGGCTGCCGCGTTCGCCCACAAATATACACTCAATTCGCTTCACAGTGTGTTCTGCGAAGCGCTTTGGGACGTCCACCCGACGTGAAAAGCGCTATACCAAATGCAAGGATTATTATTATTATTATATACAGTCCCTATCACGACGTTGAGACTCTTCAAAGCGCTGCACAGGATGTAATGCAAAGTGGATTGACTGTATTTTGTGGGGAAAAAGCCACTTTCGCACAACCGAGTCTCACAGTCATGCGTAGGGAGTGTGGCCAATGTTATTTGGGGGATTGTTGACCAGGACACGGGAAACAGAGAAGCAGATGGAGACAGTCAGAGAGCAGAGAGAAACAGCCATTTGTTTTCGAGTTGGCCTTGGGATCTTCAGCGTCCAACTGAAGGCAGAGTGAGCCTCAGTTTAACCTCCCAAAGCATACGTACAGCCAAACAAATACATGCATGAATGCATGCATGAATGCATGCATACATACATACATACATACATACATACATACATACATACATACATACATGCATGCATGCATGCATGCATGCATACATACACACACACACACATACATACATACATGCATATACATATATACATACACAGACTCAGACACACAGAATCTGCAATGGCCTGAATATGTTCCCATTATTTTCCGAGAGCTGCTTTACCTGGAGATATAGAGCATATACGGAACGGTTAGAATTCAATTGACGCGGTTCAGTTGGAAGGGGGATAACCTATGAATTCTCCATGATGGGCAACAGGGAAGGGGAAACAGATGAGTTCGCAACTTCAAGCCCACTTCAGATTTCAATGCATAGTCTCACATAAACCGAATCAGGAGATTGCAATGCTTATGTTTCCAAAGATACTGTTATACTGGGAAGGTTGAAAGAGATAAGGTAATGAGAGGAAAGTGTCAACATCATTGCTGAGATAAATGTCTGTTTTATTAATAATACCTATTGAATAATAACTTTTTATTTAATGTATTTCAGGCAATGTACATTCGAAACCATTGCCCCTAGTTGCGTTCCTCACACAGCCTTCCCCTAAAGACTTCAAAATACGCAACCTCAGGCGTTGTGAACACACCCTTGTTTAAACAGAATAACGGGACATAGAATACCAACAAACTTCTCGGTGGTCAGAGCTCTCTCCGTACAAGCGGGAGACATGGGTTCGATTCCCAGGCAGGGCAAGATGTTGGGCACTTTTTGTGACTCCACGCTCCACTGTTGATCCAGCAGTAAGTAGGGACCCAGTTGTCAGTCAATTGGTGTATCATTAATCAGGGGGTAATAATTCCTCAAATAAAATATGGGCACTGCAATCCACCCATGTTTGTGGGACACTGATGCGCGCCATTGGCTGCCTCGTTTCACCCACGCAATATAGTCAGTTAACATAACAGTATTTTCTGTGAAGAGCTTGGAGATGTCTCGAAGACATAGTGAGGCGCAGTATCAAACTCAATATATGTATTGTTACCACACAACAGGAATATATTGGAACAGCATGTGTTTTGTTATTAACTGTAGAACATGTAGTGGGCATGTCACTTTACTTCTCCAGGTTGTTTGAACACTCTCATCACAGAAAATCTTCCATCGTCTGATAGTCATTTCCCAAGAGTGTTTTATGACCAAATATCATGAGCAATGGTTGTCCAGATATATATTTTGTGTATCGTTCTAAAGGGAAGTTAGATACGACTATCTTCACTGGGAAGATTGAAAGAGTGAATGAGTGAGCAGTCACCACATTATGGCTAACATCAATGTCTGTTTCAATATTAGTATAAATATATATATTTCTATGGAACAAACACAACCAATCATTTAATGTATTACAGACAATGTGCCACCAACACCGTTGCCCCCAGTTGTTATCCTCACGCAGACTTCCCCTGAAGACATCAAAGTGCACAACTTGGCCACTGCTGTCTGCTTAATATCGGGTTTCCATCCGGACCAACTCAGTGTTAAATGGCTGAAGGATTCGAAGCCCATCACCTCAGGTGTTGTGACCTCTCCTTCGGTTAAAGACGACAACGGGACATTCGGTACCAACAGCCGCCTGACGGTGCCCACCAGAGAATGGAGCAATGGCGCGGTTTACACCTGTCAGGTGTCCCACGAACCCACCCACACCATCATTATCAAGAACATCACTACGCCTTCAGGTAGGAGGCACAGCAGCAGCTAATACACATGGTAGGAATGTGACTCACATTTCCGTTTGAAATTTGCACTTGGAGGCCAGTAGCTCAGTGGTTAGTACTCCCGCTTTACAAGCGAGAGACCTGGGTTCGGTTCCCAACCGGGGCAAGAATTGGTCAATTTTTTNGTGACCACACGCGTCACTGTTTATCCAGGATTTTGTAGGGACACAGTTGTCAGTCAATTAGCCTATCTCTATTTCGGGGGTAATGATCCCACAAATAAAAAATCATCACTTCAATCCAGAATTGTTCGTGGGACAATGATGGGCGCCATTGGCTGCCTCGTTTCACACACACAATATAGTCAGTTAGCGAAACAATATTTTCTGTGAAGCGCTTCGAGACGTCTCGAAAACGTGATGAGGTTCTGTATGAAACTCAATGATAATTTTAATTATTGTTATTAAGGTTAGATCATTCAACATTGTAGGCCTGGGTCTGTCACTTTTCTTCACCAGGTTATTTGAACAATCCCATCGTAGAAAATCTTTTATTCATCTCATGGTATTACCCTTATTTCCCAAACGTTGTTTTAGTTCAATAGATCAGAACAAATGATTGAACAGACTATATAAATTTTGTTTCTAAAGGGAAGAAAAATAAGATTATCTGGACTGAGAATATTGAACGGGTAAATGAGTGAGAAGTGTCAACATTACGGCTGAGATCAATGTATGGTTTAATATTAGCATCAATTTCGCACAACAATATATATATCCATGAAACAAAATATAACCTATCATTTTATGTATTGCAGATAAAGTACTGCACAAACCGTCGTCCCCAGTTGTTATCCTAACACAGACCTCCCCGGAAGACATCAAAATGCACAACTTGGCCACGGCTGTCTGCTTAATATCCGGGTTCAATCCGGACAAAATCAGGGTTAGATGGTTGAAGGATTGGCAGCCGATCACCTCAGGTGTTGTAACTTTTGCCTCGGTTAAAGAAGTCAGTGGGACATTCAGCACCAACAGCCGGCTCACTGTGCCCGCCAGAGAGTGGAGCACTGGCGCGGTTTACACCTGCCAGGTGTCCCATGAACCCACCCAGACTATCATTGTCAAGAACATCACCAAGTCCTCAGGTGGGAGAAACGGCAACAGTTGATAAACTTAGCAGCAATGTAGCTCACAGTTTCCTTCCAAATATGCAGTTGTGTAAACTCTAGTGTCATTTGCTTTCAGCCACATTTGGATATGGCACTGGGAACAACACACAAGCGAGCTTTGACACCCAAGTTTATTGATCTTTACAGCAGGAAGATGTCGGTTCCCGATTCTCACCCTGTAATCAGGGGATTGCAACACAGGACATGTTTCTGATCCGCTGTACAAAGGGAGCTCTGACATCCCTCACATGTCCACGAAATTGTGGCTGTTATTCTCATGTTCCACCCGCTTCCTCAACATTTAATTCCGCTGAACTTTCTGATAACAAAGAGTCTATTTGTATCAATCAGGGCAGATATACATATTATCGCGGAGTCACAGCTCATCCATCGTACGTGTTACATCGTGAGCCGTTGTCAGTTGGAGGGAATTGGAAATCAATAGGGCCACATATCACACAGTGCTACAGGGAGGAACGTTCAACTTTCCTGTAAATTATTCTGTCAACGATTGTTAATTATATTAGGAAACAACAATCTGTGGGCAGATGAGCCAGAAAGTGGGAATGTTCATGGACGGTCATTGTTTAACGTGACCCAATATAAGGTCCTGGACATGGGCTGTTATTTGGCTTTCTAAGTTTCTTTTCCTTTTCCAGAATGCGAGGAACCTTCTGAAGGTGTCAAGATCTATATCCTGCCACCTGCACAGCGACAGGTTTTGATGGAAACCTCTGTAACCCTGACATGTGTTGTGGCTAATGCACCAATTCACGTCAACGTGACCTGGACACAAGGAAATACACACTTGCAGTCTGGATATGGGATACGCTCTGCCACTGAGCCTCAGAAAGTGATCAGTAAAATAAACATTTCTGCTTTAGACTGGAGCAGTGGTAAAGAATTCTTCTGTGTAGCCAGCCACGATGATATGCCGACTCCCATCAGAGAAAAGACGTTTAAGCTGAAAGGTGAGGAGAGAGGTTTCAGGAGATAAATGATTTACGAGTTCATTGTAATTCCAGAATATAGAAAACCACTGGGTACAAATAATAAATTGCTGTCGAGAGATTTCAATCAACATCCGTCTTCCGAGTCACACCTGCAATTACAAACAACTGAACACTGTCTGAATGGAAAAACACATCATTCTCAGCTCATTTTGCAGCGTCTTATGCTTCAAAGCTTTCTCTGATTGACCCCATTTAGTGAACTGATTCCATTGTGTTTTCCCAACAGTTGAGAACGTGAAACAGCCTTCAGTGTATCTCCTCCTCCCGTCGGCAGAAGAAGTGTCCGCTCAGCAGTCTGTCACCCTCACCTGCCTGGTGAAGGACTTCGCTCCCAAAGAGATATTTGTGCAGTGGACTGAGAATGACCAGGTGATTGATGCCAATAACTACAAAAACACTGATATGTTGGCAGACAGTGCAGATCGCACATACTCCATGTACAGCATGTTGTCAATCTCAGCCGAAGGTTGGGGCAAAGGAACCTCCTACTCCTGTGTCGTCGGACATGAAACTTTCCCACTGAAGAGTCTGACCAGATCCGTTAATAAATCCAGCGGTAAACCGAGTTTTGTAAACATTTCCCTTGTCCTCGTGGACACCGTGAATGCCTGTCAATGAGTGTCCCTCAATACTGTGTTGCTTATTCTCACCCGCCTCCCTACCATTGCATTGCCTGTTTCTTTTCCTGAACAAGTAAATCAAATAAAATTTATAGTTGCATTTATGTGTCAGCTGCAGAGAGGATGATTTGCAATTAATTACTCTGTCACCTTCCATAGCAAGGAGACATACATCCATTTTTTGTGGAGATGTTAGTATTAAGTTAGTAGGACACTAACGTTGGTTTGCATACTTTTAAGCATGGTGATGTGTTTCCACGTGTCAGGTATCCTGGTGAGCCACAAAACGTTAAAAGTCCCAAATTGTGCTACTTTACTTGCTACAGCCCAATCTCAGACTGCATTTTATTTGCAGTTTGACTCAGAATCGCACAGTGTAGCTACACCTTTTCCTTTTCAAGATATTTTCTTTCCCACCGAATAGCATCGCATTCCAGATGTAACAGCATGGCGGATTTAAACTCCGGCCTTTTGTCGCAACATTTCTATTAAAAGTAAATATTTGTTTCACAGAAGCTGTTCCGAATACAGGAAAATGTTCACTTGAACATAAGCTAAGCCATACTTTTATATTGTAAACAAATGCTTTCATTCAAATTCCCATCCACACGTACTCACACACCCCGTCATATCCATCGAGGCCGACATACACTCACACTTCCAACATCTTCACAAATACATACACACACAGTCACAGACATGCAAACACACATCCACCACACGCACACACTCACATTTCCACGTAGGCCCACACATACCCACACTTGCAGACGGAAACTCACATCCACCCAGTCCCTCACACACACTCACACATCCATCCAGGCTCACACAAACTCACATAAATTCACAGGCAGACAAGCCCCTTCACATTCCCGCGCACACACATACCGGGGCCGACACAATCACACTTATTTACATTAAGGCCCTCAGATACTCACACACACCCACTTCCATCCTGGCCCCCACACAATCACACTCATCCTGGCCCCCACACACTTAGACACACTCACATACCCATGTTTACAATTAATTACACAGGCAACTTGACACATTCACATCCATCAAGAAACACGCGCACACACACTTACATCAACCCTTGTCGCCACACAAACGCATACACGCAGGAACACACACATATACATATATACTCACATCCACCAATGATCACACATACAGAATCTCACTCACCCAGGCCGACACACAATCAATAAGGCTATGGGTGAACCCTGCTAAACTTAATCCTCATTTCCCTTAGTTGATTTACCGAGACGTTTGTGCCGATTCCTCTATTCTATTACAACATTATTATCGATTTTTAAATCGACATGATGCTATTTATCAAAGTGATGATGGCCTAATACTGATGAGAGACGAAGTCCGCAAAGACTTTGGCAATTGTATAAAATTACAGACTCTTTAGCTGAGTTGACCGAAAAGTGGAATCTTAGTTCAATAACAGTAACTACCTTTGTTATAAGTGGAGTGGGGAAAACTTATGGGAGTATAAGTCTATGGGAGCGCATAACAAAAGGCAGTAAAAGTGGACCCTGTGTTTTTTGCTGGGGCAATCGACTGTCAATTAAATATAAATTTAGCAGGATCATGGGTGGTGTGCAGTGTGCGGTTCTGGGCATTTAATTAAAAAAAGGATATAAGAGCAGCTGAGAGGGCTTTGGGAAATTTCACAAAGGTCAATAAACATGATGCCTGTGACTGACGTTACAGTGTTGAGGAACAACTTCACATAGCGTGGCTGCTCTCGAAAGGAAAGAGCAGGTAAATCGGAAAGGGAAGATACGCAAATATAAGTTTTCGAATGTATTAAAGTTTTGAAAGACTGGTACAATGAAAGGCGATTGTATCCATACAAAAGTGTATAACACTTCCAGGAAAATCACTGTAAATTATGAAGGCAGGGTCGATTTTTATATCGAGAATTTTTTAGAATAGAGTAATCTTCACCTCAGTAACATAATATAACGGAATTTCAAATGTTATTTGAACAGCGAGGAGTTGAACATGCAAAAGGACAGAGAGGGAGGTGGAATTGAAGGATAGGAGTAGATCTGTCCTTTAACTAACAGCAGAATCTCAATGGGAGCATTTCCCTCTCTCTGCATTTCCACCACAAATTGAGCTTTCCCAAAGTGTGCCGCAAATTTTTCTTTGGATACTATTTGGAGAGGAACATACTATAAAACCAATACTTTCCTTATTTTTCTTTAAAATAAAAGTCTGGAAGAATTGGTATGAAGTTCCGTGTAATTTAACAGAGGGAGGGAGCCCGTAATGAACTCAGAATCTGAACATACAATACAAATGTAACAGGAAAAAATATGAAATGTCTCAGGTTTCAAACTGCTTTAGAGTCCTTTCCCCTTTTATATCCTCACAGATTTGCCAATCGAGATGATGTTGGAAAGGTTTCAAGAAATTCAATGTGACGACCTCTGGCCTACTGCTTCCACATTCATCATTCTCTTCTTCCTCAATATTTTCTACAGCGCCACCGTCACTCTAGTTAAGGTGAGGAGAGTAAATGCATTGACGCCATAATATGGTGTAACAGCTGCTGTTAAATATTTGGTCCACGGGATCCCCAATAGTCATGCTTGCTGCAACCACTCTGCTGGGAATCTCAGCCTGCACCGGCAGGCCATGATCCTTGTGACTGGGCTGTGTATAGGGTGATAAAAATATCCTATCCCTCTTACACACCCTATTAAACTTGACATATGCGCACATGATACAGTCCCTGGGACGGTGCAAGTGTTACTGTCTGTGTTAGTCCTCTGCAGACAAATACAAATTCACACAGAATCAGTTGGACGTTTGTGTATCTGTGTTTGTGTGTATGTTTCTATGTTTGTGTGTGTTTACCTTTTTGGATAGATATACACAAATAAACACAAGCTTAAATATCATTATCCATGACATATTTACTTTTAATTTTCAGATAAAATGAATTCACTAAGATCTGCGTCAACGATGCGACTCGTCCGTTTGTGTCTAACAACATCGTCTTGTGAAAGATTATGTGCAGCCTTTTTTCACTCATTGTACAAATCACTTAAAATAAACATTGTATATTGCAACTACTTGAATTCTAGTGGCTTTTCTCATTGCTAGTTTATTTTAAAATGTGCATTTTGGTAAAAATAATTAAAGTTGTCACTGTCACGCCTCTCTGATATCCTTCATTTCCTGTTTCCCATTTTGTTTGGTGTAATGAAACCGAAAGTCAGTGGCTGATATACTCTGTCCTCTCATTTTAATCTGAGCCTTAATTTTTGATTCGGCTCCGGTTTCATATATCTCCAGAATCTGTATCTTGTTTGCCAATAGCATCAATAAAAACGTTAAAATTCAATGAACTGTTTGATTCCTCTTTCCTTCTCCATCTGTGTCAGATGTGTCTTGCCACTTCTTTCTAAATTACTCAGATTCCCAGTAACTCAGCATTTAACAAAAGCTGTTAAGTTAAATGTCAAGCTTCAGTTACAGCTTTGCTGAGAACACCAAAGGCAACAATAGTTCCGCTGGAGATGTTTTTTCGCTCCAGTGATCAGCAACTTTTTCCGTCCGACACTGATCAGCCCCTCACCCAGATGTAGCTTCAGACACATGGCTATTCTAATGTAGTAACACGCAGCTCTGTGTCAGAGTACTTATAGCACAATCTGAGAGCGCAATCTATTTTATACTTTCGGGGAGCTGTATCTCCTGCCTGTGCTGATCTGGACAATCTGAGCCGGTCAGCACCTCAATGGGAGATCACAAAGCCCAAATGCCTGCTCGCGGCAATTGAGCTGCCACGTTGGCGCAGACTCCTCTTCACAGGTCGTACTGTGAAAACCATGTGGACGTTCTGCTGATGTGAGAGACACTCAACCAAACACAACGATTCTTATCATTGTTATTGGTAACAACATAAACCTCACACGCTGCAATGCTACAGTATTTCGGGCCCAATGGGCCTAAAGATTCCCACTGAAGCCCCTGATCAGAAAGGTTAATAAATCCAGCGGTAAACCGAGTTTTGCAAACTTTTCCCTTGTCCTGGTGGACACCGTGAATGCCTTTCAATGAGTGTCTCTCAACACCGTTTTTCATTTCCCCTAGGCACCCATATCCCTGCCATTGTATTGCCTGGTTGGTTTCAGAAAAAAGTAACTCAAATAAAGATTATAGTTGCATTCATGAGTCAGCTACAGAGGGGATGATTTACAACTCATTAAACAGTCGACTTCCATAATAAGGAGAGATACATTCTTTCTTTGAGGCGATGTGACCATCAATTTAATAGATCACTCAAGTTGGTGCGTAAGCTCTTAAGCATGTTGTGTGATCCTGGATGGATGTGTCAGAGATACGTTTGATCAAGAATAGAGTTAATAGTCCCAAATTATGCGACACTATTTGCCACCGTCCAATCTCAGACTGGATTTTATTTGCAGTTTAATTTAGAATTCCGCAGGACAGCTGCACATGTTCCTTTGCAAGAAACTGTCTTTTCCGCCGAATCGCAGAACAGAAACGTTACAGGAATATTCACTTAAACACACGCTTAGCCATACTTTTACACTGTACGTAAATGCATTCCTCACACTCACATCCACAGTCAGCCTCACACACACAATCATGTTGACCAAGGTCCACACACATTAACATATCTACCCAGGTTTACAAACACACATAAACAGACACACAAGCTCACAGTCACCCAGGCCCACACAGACTCACAAACACTCACCCACCCACCCAGGATCACATAAACTAACACATACTCGCACACAAACAAGTCCCCACACACTCCGGCTCAACCACTTGCCATGGCCAACACTACTCACACTCACATCCATTAAGGCCGAGACACTCAACCAAATACGCTTCCCTCCAGAACTGCACACACTCACACGCAACCAGGCACACTCACACTTACTTCTGTCACACAGCCAGGCTTAAACACATACACATATCACATTCACCAAGGCTCCCACACAATTAAAGATACTGACATGTATTCAGGCTCACAAACACGATCACATACGACATTCTATGCAGGTCCACACACACTCACCCAAACCCATACGCACTCATACATACTCACGTACACCCAGGTCCACACACAACTACATACAAGCAGGCACACACAGACACAAACACGCACACATACTCACGTATACTCACGCTCAACATGGACCACACACATTGGCACAGACCCACAATAACCCAGACGCACTCAAACACACTCGCCTCCATCAATGCCCACATACAATCATACACCGCTCACTTCCACTCAGGGAGACACACACACACACACACACACACTCACGCTCACCCAGGCCTACACACATATAATATCGCTCTGGATGAACCCTGTTACACTTGATCCTCAATTGCTTCAGTTGATTTACACAGAAGTTGTTGCCGGATCATCCACTGCTTTACTGCAATATGAACCATTTTGAAAGAGAAATATTGCTATTTATAAAATGATTGATGAGAGCATAAATAGGGGCGTGGGTCACAGTCATGAACAACATGGGCAATTTCTTAAAATGACAGACCCTTTAGCTGAGTTGGCTGAAAAGTGGAACTGCAGTTCTATATTGAAACAGCAGGAAAAGCTTCTGTTATAAGGGCAGTGTGGAAAATTTGAAGCATAGGTCAATAGACCACTCACCCAAAGGTCAATTAAATACGAAATATGAATGTCAATTACATATGAAGTCAGCAGGATTCTGTTTGGAGTAAAGAGTGCGGTAGTCGGCATTTTATTAAACAAAGGATACAAGAACATCTGAGAGGATTTTAGGCAGATTGACAAAAATCAATAAAGATGACGCCCGTGATTGACTTTACAGTGATGAGTATCAGCTTCAAACATTGTCGCTGCTCTGGAAAAANGATAAGCTAAAAGAGAAAGGGAGGATACGCACATACAAGCTTTCAAATTTATTAAAGTTTTGAAAGAATCATGCAGTGAAAGGCGACAAATGAGTGTAAAACATCCAGGATGATCGCTGTAAAATATAAAGGCTCAGTGGAATTTTATATTGTGAACATAAGAACATAAGAACATAAGAATTAGGAGCAGCAGTAGGCCATTCGGCCCCTCGAGCCCTGCCCCCCCAATTCGATAAGATTATGGCTGATCGTCTGACCTAACTCTGATTACCCGCCCGATGCCCATGTTCCTAATCCCTCCAATTTAAAAAATCTATCAGTTTCAGCCTTGAACTTTTTAGAATACATGGTTCTTCATTTCAATATCATAATGCTAAGGAATTCTAAATGGTTTTTGATGAGTGACGATGCGAACTTGCAACAGAACAGACAGGAAGGAGGAATTGCAGGATTGGAGTAGATCTGTCCTTTTAATACCAGCAGAGTATCAACGGGAGCATTTCCTTCCATGTGTAGTTCCACAAATTTTAACAAGTGTTCCACAAATTCTTCTCTGAATGCTATAATTGAGAGGAACAAACAACAAAACAATTGTATTCATTACTTCTCTTAATATGAAAAGTTTGGAAGTATCTGCATATGTTCCTGTGCAGCCTAACAAATGGATTGACTAGTAAACTGAAAACACATTAATAATCCAACAGGAAAAAAAAGAATTGATTCATGGTTCAATTCGCTCTGAAGATATTTCCCCTTATATTTCCTCACAGCTTTTCCAATCGAGATAATTCTGGAAAGTTTTCAAGCAGTTCAATGTGAGAACCTGTGGCCTACTGCTTCCAACTTCATCATCCTCTTCTTCCTGAATATTTTCTACAGCCCCAGCGTCACGCTATTTCAGGTAAGGAGAGTCAATGCATTGACGCCATGGTGTCGTGTAACAGCTGCTGTTGAACATTTGGTCCATGGGAACCCTAATAATGATGCTCATTGCAACCACCCTCCTGGGAATCTCAACCTGTACCTACGAGTCAAGATCCTTGTGACCCGGCTGTGTGTAGGGTGATCAAAGTATCCTATCACCCTGAGACACCGTATCACAACTGGCATATGCTCACCTGATATAGACACTGGCAACGGCAATGGTTATTTAAAGATTTAGTGGATCTCTCAGTGTATTGTGGACAGTATAAAACATGGCGAAGGTTTTATGAAAGTGTCAGTCCCCAGCAGACAATAGCAGATTCATACTGAATCCGTTGGACCCTTGCGTATGTTTGTGTGTGTGTGTTTGTATGTTTGTGTGTGTGTTGGTACGTTTGTGTGTATATCTGTGTGGATGCACAGAGAAAACAATAAACACAAGCTTAAATATCATTACCCATTATATCTTTTATTTTCCAGATAAAATAACTTTCTTAAGATCAGCTTCACCGATTTGTCGCGGCAGTTTGTGTTTAACAACTATGTCTCGTGACAGATGATGTGATGTCTATTTGCAACCATTGTACATATCCGCTGAAAGTAAACTTTTTTATTGCAAACACATGAACTTTAGAAGACTTTCTTCTTGTTACATTGCGATACAATGTGTTTTTGGTAATAATAAATAATAATGTTACCTTCACGCCTCTCTGATATCCTTTATTTGCTGATTACCGTTTGTATGGTATAATGAAACAGAAAGAGAGCGTCTGTGGTACTCTGTCCTTTGATTTTAATCTGAAACTCATTTTTTGTATCTGCTCCTGTTTCATAATACTTCAGATTTTATGTATTTTTTGCCTGAAGCATGAATAAAAATGTTAAAAACCATTGAGCTGTTTGATTCCTCTCTTTCCTGTTCCCTTTGTCTCAATTGTGACTTGTCGCTGCTTTCCAAATTATTCAGGTTCCCAGTAACTCAGCATTAAACAAAAGCTGTTAAATTAAATATCTAACTTCAGTTACAGCTTTGCTGAGAACACTAAAGGCGATGATATTTCCGCTTGAGTTAGTTCTTCGCTCCAGTGACCAGTAGCATTTTCCCTCCCACATTGATCAGCCCCTCACCCAGATGTAGCGTCAGACACATGACTATTCTAATATAGTAACATGCAGCTGTGTGTTAGAGTATTTATAGCACAATCTGAAAGCGCAATCTGTTTTATACATTCAGTGAGCGTTATCTCCTGCCTGTGCTGAG